TTCTGTTAGTCATAAAAGAATACCTAGTTTGTTATTTTTTGTTTTATTCTCTCTAGTACTGCTATATATAGTAATCAGACTTGTAGAAGAATTGTAAATAAAATATCTACGTAAGATCATCTTTTCCTCTCTAACATTATTCTTCTTCTACCTTCTCAGCTCTCCTCTTTCTCCTACCTCTTCTTTCTCTGCTGCTCCCTATTATCACCACCATTCAGCCCTAAAATCCACAAAAACTAAATCAAAACCTGCTTCCTAGCTGCTGTTAAACAATCAGGTTCCTGACACCCATTACAAGAGAGCTTGAATGAGCAACAAATAAGACCTTGACCATGCAAGATAATTACTTCCATCTAGCTTCAGAAGCCTGATTCACAATTAGGGATTCTCACTTATTATCCCACCATGCTTTAGGCAGCCAGTTGGTTTAAATCAGCCATGTTTTACTTCTTGCTAGTTCCCTAATTAGCAATAAGTGCAGAATCAGTGAGATCCACAAGTAGAGATGATCTAGAATTGCAATATAAACCTACTGCAGAGTGATAAAGAGTAGCACTCCGTTGGTACTAGCTCTAATGCTATGATTCCAGTAAAAAGACAAGGAGAAAGGGCCAGCTTCATGGCGTCGGATTTTCCATTATTGGACGATGTTGATCTACGAGCTAAACGAGAGGGTCACCTTCATGGGGTCCCTTTGGGCAAAAGCTCACAGTCACTTCCCGAACATGAGCATCTTAGAGCTCTATCATAGTTGGAATGCTATTTTACATATAGAATAGTGGAGTGTTTTTTGGTTTACTTTTTTTTTGGTTTTTCTTATTTTGGTTTTATTACGAAGAGGATGTCTTATTCTTCATTCTTGTAGTCTTTTATTTTTCTCTCTTCCATAATAGAGCTTCTTCTTTTATTAAAAAAAAAATCACTGGTAAAAAATTATTCCTCAAATCAATGTCAAGAGTTATCTACCATTATATCATTTGTATGTGGTCAAATCGTTTCAAAGATATTGTCAGAAGAAATTATTCATATTATCATCCTCCTATGGTTATATGATTTTAATTGTAGATTGATGAGGAGCTGGATGAGCTAATTTCTCGAATCAAGCTGGAGGAAGGAAACACAGAGTTCTGGAAACGTCGGTTTCTTGGAGAAGGTTTGAATCATGATCAGGCTAACCCCGAGGACATGGTTGAGTCAGAACCTCCAGAGGAACTGGATGATGTAGATACTGTAGAAGATGTTGCTAAGGAGGTCGAAGATGATGAGGCTGATGAGGAAGAGGAAATAGAACAAACTGAGAGCCAAGAAGACGGAGACAGGGTCAAGGACAAAGAAGTTGAAGCTAAGAAGCCTCTTCAAATGATTGGTGTCCAGTTGTTGAAAGATTCTGATGAAGTTACATCAAAGAAAAGAAGAAAGAAGCTTTCGCGAATATCTGTAGAGGTGAGAAAAATTGTTATGGTTCTATATTTTTCTTTGCATTTATCTTATAAAGGGTCTTCCCATAAAAATCATTTTTCTATCATTTCCCTGCAGTTTCTGTTCTGAATTGGTTCATTTTGATTTTTAAACATGCAAAACGCTAGGTTTTTGTGTTGATGAGAAAAAGATTGAAATACTGCAATGATACATGATCCTTGAATCGCTTGATTTTGACAAGAGAAATAGTACATTACGTGTATCCAATGTAATTTACTCATTAGACAAAATGCTAAATATTCACTATTAATGCATTTTGGAATGGGTATTATTGGAAGATGCCAAGACACTTTACAGGTTCTAAAAATTGCATCCGTCATTATACGTTGGCGATAGTTATATTTCTTGATTAGGTTAAGATTCAAGTCCTCATCCCTGTATCCTTGTCCTTAAAGAAAAAACCATTTCAAAGCTAGACATGGTAATTGTCATAGCTTTTTTCTCGTTGGATTTTGAATACTTTGTTAACCCTTTTCTTTTTAGTTTGGACTTTCTATCTTAAAGTGTCTACTAAAGGAGACACAACACTAGTAACTAAAAGACAGCGTATGATGGAAGTATTTTTAACTGGTGTGTGCTTCTATTGCACCTTATTCAGTATTTTCTTTT